TTCGAATCCAGGTCTCCAGAACATTATCTGGGTCTCTGGATTAAAGGTCTCGCAATAATGCCACTAGGCCATTGCCTGTCCATGATGGGGTGTTGGGTCATGGAGGAAGAGTCAACATTGTTCTTGAGCAAGGCTGGAGTTTTTGCTGGATTTGTTTTCCTTTCCCTTTGCTTTTCCTAAATCCTAAACATTATGCATTTACTGTGCACAGAATCACATGTATACATTGCTGAATTCTAATATCTGGTACAATGCATCACTTACTAATGGTTGGGGCAGAAACTTATGAAGTGTAATAATGGAAACTCCAGCAACAGCTGAAAGAGTTCAAAGGAAAGATCTATCACCCACTTGTCAGAACCACTGGGGATGAGCAATAAAGCTATGGCTTTGTCAGTGTCCACCAGATCCCTTGATCAGTTCGAGAAACTTTGAGGTTTTGCCAGCTTCACCAGACCAGATTTTTTTGATAAAAAGGGAAACGAAATTGCAAGTTGTTAGAAATCAGAAATAAAACAGGACATGACATTCTTACATGACAGATCAGAGACAATGCATGAAAAGTAAAGACAGATTCAGGTTATGTACATTGCATCATTATGCTTCTTTGACACTTCTATAAGTTGTGTGCATAAATGCTTACCTGCTGCTGTTTTGCTTCAATCCAGTGACCTAATTGATGGCTTAGTAATATTTCAGTTATACGAGAATGTAACTGTACCAGTGGATTGGAACCGTGTCAACAGGCCTCCCTATCCACAGCTTGGGGCTAACATGAAGAAAGTATGTTGATTTAATCATCTCTCTTTTTTTTTTAAAATCAACCTGCGAAGACTAGTAGTGCTAATTTTTAGGATGAATTGTCTTTGTACTGAGCATAAATTTGAATCATGAATGTTAGATGTGTGACAATTTGGTCTCTTTTTATCCTCTAATAGTGCTGGATGAGCCTGTTGTTAAATTTCTTGCAGTTAATTGAAGGAACAGACCAGAAGTCAACCTTGACTCCATTTCAAATTATTTCACAAAAGGAGATATTATAAATGTAAAATACACCTACCATCAGTGTTAACAAGGTGTAGAGCTGGATGAACACAGCAGGCCAAGCAGCATCAGAGGAGCAGGAAAGCTGACGTTTCGGGTCTGGACCCTTCTTTTTTCTGAAGAAGGGTCCAGACCCGAAACATCAGCTTACCTACTCCTCTGATGCTGCTTGGCCTGCTGTGTTCATCCAGCTCTACACCTTGTTATCTCAGATTCTCCAGCATCGGCAGTTCCCACTATCTCTGCTTTCTGTATGACTTCCTTTTCAGTTAGTCACAGATAAGCTGGCAAATGAGATTGGTTTCTTATCTATAAACATTTGCTGTTGTGGCACTTTACAGTAAAATGTAAAGAAAATTAACAACCCAATCACAAAAGAAATGCTAAGATTAAAAATTGGGACCCTTTCTTCTATTTCCCTTTGATCTTTCGTCCTTTTATCTTCAGGAGGGAACAAATGTTCTATTTGGCACAGTTGCTGTGTATTATGTAAATACATTATTGTAGTTAGGACAAAGGGTTAAAATATTTGGTTTCTTACTCCTGAGGTACACTTTGTTCCTCGCATGCTCATCATGTGTTTTCCATTGTTTACAATGCAATATGCTTTTGTTAAATCATTTTAAAAACCTGTAAACTGAAGTATCAGTCTTCATTGGTCTTAACATTGCATGTTTTAAGAAATTCAACTCACTGATCCAGTGTAACATTGCTGTTGATAAATCAGAATATGCTGTGTTTTGAGGAAGCAGGGAAGGGCCAAAATGTATGGAGTACTTATTGCCTTATGTGATATCTAGAGTGCCTTTTGAAGTTAAATTGGAGATGAATTGGTTTCATTATTAATCGTGTAAAGTAATAGCTGGAGTGTGATGAATGTACTGAAAGATTTATGTTTTAATATTTGCAAAGTCATGCTTATAAATCTTCTCCCTGTAACATTTTTCTGTCTATTCTGTTATTGCAATGTCTCACATATTTGGTTCACTTACCTTTTGAATCTTCTAAACTTGGTGTAGTTTCACAATTTGCCCCGATGTTGGTCATTGTACCTATCTTTTAAAACCAGCTCTTTGGTTTGACTCTCCCGTCTTGCTGATTTTTTTCTTCTTCTCTTTCGAGCGACTAAAGTTCTGAGAAGCTCCCGAGTAATTGATAATGCAGCAATTCCAGCTACTGCCAAGAACCAGATTTTAGATCCTTCAGCTCTTGTTCCTTTGATTGTCTTCATGTTTAAAATAACAAAAGCATCTGCACCTTTTAAGCCAAATACAGATCATAGCCAAGATCCTGGCTTTTGTGACGATTGGGGAGAATTCTGAATTCTGGTTCTGGATGTAAGTGAATAATCCACAGTGTTTACGTTAAATATTAAAAAGGTAACGTTACCATAGTCCTACCACACCATACGGCTGCTGTCTCGTTAGAGAGAGCTGGTGGTGGTATAACCTAAGGGTCACCATGCCTCAGGTGAGGGGAGAGGTTGAGAAGGAGAGTCCTTCATGGCAACTTCAGCCAGGTGTGAGAATTGAACACCTCGCTCTGCATTGTCAACCAGCCATCCAACCAACTGAGCTAACTCAGCCCTGACTTTAAATATTACAAGCTCTTCGGGACTATTGCTCCAAATATTGGGGCGGCACGGTGGCAGTGGTTAGCACTGCTGCCTCACGTCGCCAGGGGCCCGGGTTTGATTCCAGCCACGGGCGACGGTCTGTGTGGAGTTTGCACATTCTCCCCATGTCTGCGTGGGTTTCCTCCGGGTGCTCCAGTTTCCTCCCACAGTCCAAAGATGTGCACGTTACGGTGGATTGGCCATGCTAAGTTGCCCGTAGTGTCCAGGGATGTGCAGGTTAGGTGGGTTATAGGGGGATGGGTCCGGGTGGGATGCTCTAAGGTTCGGTGTGGACTTGTAGGGCTGTAGGGCCGAAGGGCCTGTTTCTACACTGTAGGGATTCTGTGATTCTGTGATATTCTCTATGTACCCTCCTCCCCTATTCCTGTGTTGCTGCTGCCACTGCCTGTAGCTTGCTAACTGCTGTTTGTTGTGATACAGATCTTTCTTTTCAGTTGTGGCTGTTTCTTTGCTGCCCCTGCTGGTTAGCTAGTTTTGTAGGACAGGGGAGTTCAGTTTTGCCAAAGCACAATGAAAATTGAGGAGAAATATCACAGGATGAGGTAGCACCTTCTGTTGGATTGCAAAGAATGAAGGAAACAAATTTGAAATTACATTGAAATAAGGTTAAAATAGCAAAAGAAAACATTTACTTGTGTAGAACATGCTAATTTACTCGCAACATGCTTTGAAGAGCAGAACTGGGAGATGCAGTTTGGAATAGTATGTGTCATCTGGTGAATGTGATCACAATAAATATATATAGTTATACACGAGTTTTGCACTAGGATTGATGGGAACATCAAACTTGTGACACCAAGGCATGACCACATCTTGACACAGGAAGTAGTGTGACAAATAGGAAACCAGTGAAGAGTGTACTTCAAGTAAATACCTCTACCACCATGATTATTGTGACATGCAGCTCTTCCTTGAGTAGATCTCCTACCTGGTTGATGGTCTGCAATTGAAGAGTTGAAAAGAATTTTTTTCATCAAGAGCTTCCATCTCAGTAAGGAAGTATCAGACACAACCACATCCAATCTGCTCTGAAAACTCTGCTCACATTTTGACAACATGATAAATTCCTTCACAGCTCATTCAATAGACAACATTCTAACTCAGATGACGTACAATATTCTAAAAGAAAAAGACAGTTCACCTGATTATTTCAAAGAAACCCTAGGATCTTGATTTACAGGTTCACAAAAGTAATCAGTCCTTCCCCCATGCTGTGTACTACATTTCATTGAAATGCATCTATTACTTTTTGAGGAACGTTGTTTACACTGTAACAGACTAACCTTTTCCCACCTTCACTGGTGACCGTAATAAAATGAGAAAATTTGGAAATACTGTACTATACAGCATCTGTGGAGAGCAAAGCAGAGATACTGGGAAAAGTTAAGAATGTCATTGATTCTGTTAGTGAAAAGAAAACCAGAACAGAATGAAAGGTCTGTGATAGAGTAGAGTGCAAAAGAGGTGGAGTAACAAAGGGTTGGTGTTGTGGGGTCACAGGGAGCAATAATGGGACAGTCAGGAAACACAAGATGTGCTTAGAAGGAGTCTAACGATGGCTGCCATCTAAAGCTAAATGAGAGAAAATAGTTTAAAACTGAGAGAAACAATGTTAAAGAATCAAAATGTGCAGAGATTGAAGTCAGAAATTGTTAAATTTGAGGGGAGGCAATGGCCTAGTGGTATTATCACTGGACTGTTAATCCAGAGACACAGATAATGTTCTGGGAACCAGGTTCGAATCCCACTACGGCAGATGGTAGAATTTGAAATCACTAAGTCTCTGGAATTAAGGATCTAATGTGAATCCATTGTCAATTTGTCAAGAAAAACCCATCTGGTTTACCAATGTCCTTTAGGGAAGGAAACTGCCATCCTTACCTGGTCTGGCCTACATGTGACACTCCAGACCCACAGCAATGTGGTTGACTTGAAACTGCCCTCTGGACAATTAGGGTTGGGCAATAAATGCTGCCTAGCCAGTGACACCCTCCTCCCATGAATGAATTAAAAAACAGTATGGAAGGCTGTAATAGTCAGCTAAGATGCTGTACCTCAGTCTTATGTTGAATGTAATTGTGACACTGCATTAGAAGAGGGACAGGGAGAGGTCAGTACGAGGCCAAGGTGAAGAATATGAATGACAGGAAACTGGAATCTTGGGGTCATGCTTGCAGATTGAACGGAGGCGTTCTGTAAAGCAGCCATCCAGTCAGTGTTTGGTCTTCCTGACGTAGAGTAGATGTGTCGTGAGCGGTGAATACGGTCTGCAAAATTGAAAGAAGACCACACAAATCACTGACTTTTTTTTTGTTTTGTGATGTTTCAGGTTTTCCAAGAACTCAAAGATAAGGAGATCAGCAAAACATTTAGGAAAGTCATCAACAAAAAAGAGGGAATTTGTGCAATTGGTGGAATGTCTGACCGCTCTAGTGAAGGAACACAGCATTCCTATGAAGGTACATCCCTTACTTACTTTCTTCAGTGTGTTTGCTACTTGATCAGTTGTCTCAGCAGCTTTTGGGGATGGGGTGGATAGCAAGTTCCACCATAGCACATTTAGTTTCATAGAATCATCATAGAATCCCTACAGTGTGGAAACGGGCCCTTTGGCCCAACAAGTCCACGCCGACCCTTGGAGCATCCCACCCAGACCCATCCCCCTATAACCCACCTAATCTACAGACCCATGAACACTACGGGCAATTTTAGCTTGGCCAATCCATCTAACCTGCACATCTTTGGACTGTGGGAGGAAACCGGAGCACCCGGAGGAAACCCACGCAGACACGGAGAATGTGCAAACTCCACACAGACAGTTGCCCGAGGGTGGAATCAAACCCAAGTCCCTGGTGATGTGAGGCAGCAGTGCTAACCACTGAGCCATCGTGTCACCCCCCATAGTTTGTTGAACACTGGATATTCTTTCTTGAGATCCAAGTTCAAATCCAGGTCCAATTGATTGGACTCGGCATAATTCAACCTGCAATTCAGGAGAATATTTTTTAAGAGTAGTAATAAGAATGTGGATTTTACCAATCCTGGCCAGAATATCAGGGATAAACTGACTACATCATTACGGCACTCATTGGATCATGAGGTCACGTTTGGAGTTAGGTACCTCTTGAATAGCATGTAATTGTCTATACTCATTCAACCATTCCAAATACTCCAATTTTAATATGTGAGGGGGCATCATAATTCATTGACTATTTTTGTAGCTTGATGTTATCTCTGAAGCACGATTATGGTTGTCCTTGTGACACCTATGTACGGAAATACATTTTTTATTTTTCTGCAATAATATTACCTGTTACTTTAATGGGCACATTGTGTGCTGAATTAGAAAGATCCAAGTCTCTGTAGAAGTCGGTTTGAACTCCATAAATAACCAATGAGCCAATTGTGCTTTCTTAATCTTCTGGCACTGGCTTTGGGAAACAACATTTTCTTTGCTGAAACATTGTCCCCGTATTGCTTCAGAATTTAAAGCCAACATTGTTGTGACCTTTCAGAACAGAAGCAGATTTTGACAGATACATTATTAAGGTAAACCTTGGCTTGCTTTATGTGGTGACACACAACTGTCCGACATGGAAGGCACAATTTATATGATACATAAAACAGTTTCCTAAATATTCTTCATGATTTGATTGATACACTTTTTTATTTGTTAGTCCAGTTGTGACTCTGCGCTTGATCATTTGAGGTCAAAGCCAAATGACAAACTATTTCATCTTTTCCAACTATTTTTTTTTTGGTTTTCTTCTCCTTTTTCTCCCTGTTTGTCTTTCTCTTTTTTTCCCTCGCCTACCTCTCTCTCGCTCTCAAATTCAATCTCTTACAATCTTTTTCTTGAGCTGTCTCTTGCATGCTCGCTTTCTCTTTCTCTCTCTCGCGCTCTCTCTCTCACATGCTCACACTTACTTTTGCGCTCTTGCTTGCTGTCATCTTCCTCTCACTCACTGTCACTCTCGCTTGCTTTTTCTCTCTTTTCCATACAAGCAAGCGAGAACTAGACCTGTTAGCCTGACATCAGTAATAGGGGAAAAAGGAGAATTGATTATCAAGTTTGATTACTGGATATACAGAATGTAAATCTGTTTGGACTGTGTCAACTTTGATATATGAAGGGGAAATCATGTTTGACCAGCCTAATGCAGTTTTTTGAGGATTTTGCTAGAGCGGAATTATCAGCAATCACCCTCGACATCAAGGCTGCATTAAGGAGACCTAGCAAGACTGGAGTCAGTAGGAATTGGGATAAACTCTCCACGGCTTGGAGTCATACTTGATACACAGGAAAATTGTTGTGGTTGTTGAGAGTCTGTCTTCTTAGCTGCAGGAAATCCTCATAATATTATCTTAGGCCAACCATCTTCAGCTGCTTCATCAAAGATCTTCCCTCCATCATTAGGCCAGAAGTGTGGACGTTTGCGACAACTTGGATGCTAAAGCAGTCCGTGTTCAAATACAACAAGATCTGGACTATATCCAGGCTTGGGCTGACAAGTGCCAAGTAACATTCATGTCATACAAATGCCAGGCTATGACCATCTCCAATAACAGACAATTTAATGGTTGTCCCATGACATTCAGTGGCTTTGCCAACACTGAATCCCCCACTATCAACATCCTGGGGGTTGTCATTGATCAGAAACTGAAATGGACTCGCCATATAAACACAGTGGTTACAATAGCAGGCTAGGAATAGTGCAGCTTGTAACCCACCTCCTGATTCCCCAAAGCATGTCCACTTACAAGTCTGCCATAACTGAGCTTCTGAATTCATATCAACAGTGAGACCTCATATTTCCAACTCGAAACATCACCTGACTGCCTCATTCTCAACTGTTGCTGAATTTCTCGTCCATTTCTTTTGAAATAATTCAGTCTGGTGGTAACAATTTTTTTTTTATCAGCCTCCCATATCCTTCCCATGATAAACTTGAGACCATTCACAATTTGACATGTCCCATTCACCCGTCTTATATCCACTGATCTACAGTGGCTCCAAGTTAAGCAATGTCTTTTGTTTTAATTCTCATCCTTGTTTTCAGGTCTCTTTATGGCCTCACCTCTGCGAATCTTTGTAATCCACTTCAACCTTTGCTGCCCTCTTAAATATCCCCAAGGTTATTCGCTCCACTCTTGATGCCTTCAGCTTTGAAGTTCATTTGCACACCTCTCCACCTCTCTAACTCTCCTTAGAGACACCCATTAAAGCTCACCTTTCAGATCACACTTTTCATATCTGCCCCAACATTTCCTGACATGCCTAAATTTCAGTTAATAATGACAAAATGCTGTGCCTTGGGACATTGCACTATGTGAAAGGTGCTAGATAAATGCAGGTTATTGTTTTATTTGATACCGTGAAATGGAAAGTTTATATCCTTGCTGAGGAATTTAGCTTGTCTTACAAATACCTATTTTAAAACTAATACTTAGAATAAATGAAGGAGAGAAATACTCCTCTTCCTTCCCTCTACAGCTACCCATGAATAGCAGTTGGTGCACACATGGCTGTTTGCAGATCTTTCCCTGGTGCAGAAAATGCTTTCTCAATACGCCAGGTCTGAGGAAGGGTCACTGGACCCGAAATGTTTTAACTCTGATTTCTCTCAAGAGACACTCCCAGACCTGCTGAGCTTTTCCAGCAATTTCTGTTCTTGTTTCTGATTTCCAGCATCCGCAGTTATTTCTGTATTTATTTTGCTTTCTCAATACGCTGATTCCTTTTAGGCGGGTTAATACTCATTAGAAGAATCTCAGATGGATTTGAGGCCTTGATGAGTCAGCACGTGTAATGCTGATGCTGTGTGTTATCTTTGATTAACTGACTCTGAATGTAGAGCACACAAAAATTCCTCTACTGAATCATCATCTTAGCCAGCTTGTAGTCATCAATATTCTGTGCTAATTTATTAAGTTTTTTTTGTGCTTCAGTTTTAGAGGAGTTGCCACAAATACCCAGCTTTTTCAGAAGTATATTTTTTTGAAACAGTCCAGGGAACAACCTATTTCTTGCCGTGGACTGACCTATCCCCTCCCTAACTCCCCACCTACACTCACCTTTACTGGCTCCATCCCCGCCTCTTTGACTTGTCTGTCTCCTCTCCACCTATCTGTTCCTTTCTCCACCTTCCATCCGCCTCCCCTCTCTCCCTATTTATTTCAGAATCCCCTTCCCCTCCCACCTTTCTGAAGAAGGGTCCAGACCCGAAACGTCAGCCTTCCTGCTCCTCTGATGCTGCTTGGCCTGCTGCGTTCATCCAGCTCTACACCTTGTTATCTCTATTTCTTGTCTCTCTGTTTACTTGAAAGCAGATCATTTTAACAGCAATGGAGCAAGTTAGCTTTCTCTGTGGCATAGCTCCCCCCACCCACCTCCCACCACACCCCCCACCTCCCACAATATCATAGAGCTGTGTTGGACCTGTCAGTCTTCTGAAGATATTTATGGGAACAGCATTAGAAAGATTATTACTGATTAAATTGAATCTCTTAGTCTATTCCAGGGACTGCCACCACAGCTGCCTGTCAATATCTGCTGTGTGTTGAAATAGAAAGTCTGCATGCACTATTGATAATCACACTGCTGCTGTTTGGAGAAATTGCTCATACTGTTGCCTGGAACTCCATCTCTTGTTTCTGTAGAGGCCCCATTGTGAATTTAATTAATGACCTCGGTGAATCGGGGTTATGGAGGATATGTCAGGCACCAGGCAAGTTCTTGGTTTGTCCTCTGACCTCTGCGTGAATTATTTTGCTTTCTGTCCGGCCGATAGGCTGTTCCTTACGATCTCGTAAAACCAAATTAAATTTGGTTACAGATAATCTGTCACTGAACAGTGGTCAGTAATGAAAGTTATTGAACAGTAGGAAACAGAGGAAGACTTTTCCAAAGAGACCCAACAGACTCGATCCTACAAGAAAAAAATGACAGTGAGGGCAGAGTTTTACGGGTCACTGCAGGCTTAGGGTCAGGGACATCCACCCACTTAAGCTTGACCATTTTACCCAGCATGGCCTGCTCACACTCTGCTCAACTGAGTCTTTCAAGTGGCCAATAAATGACCAGTTAAGGTTCACATCCTGCATGGCCTCAATTTTGAGACTGGCAGGAGCAAGTCAGCGACAGGTCGTCCTGCCAGTGTTTCAGGAGGGGCAGGGTGGAGTATGATACCTCCCTTATGGACCCACTTTACCAGGCAATTTGGAGGAATAAAATTTCCTCCAAGAGTTACAAGATTGAGGAGCAGCTGGGATCAGGGAGCACTCTTTCTCCACTCATTCTTGGGTGGTAGAGCAGGAAACCCTGCTACTTGGTAAATTCTGCCTCATATGATTGAAATAGGAAAGAAAAGGAAGAATTGCCTTGATACAGTGATGTTCAGGCCCTTTGGAAGTTTTGATGCATCGTCTGACCATTGAAGTGTAGTCACTGTCGTAATGT